GAGACTTCTCTAATTTGCTCTGCTGAATAATTGGTCTTTAACTATGAATTGAAGAATTAACTCAAGGAGGAGTTCCAGGAGTTTGGAAACTGTAACTCAATTACTCTAAACCACATTACCACCTTCTTTGTACCTCAGTTTGTCCATTAGTTCTTCTTATTGTTGTTGTTATCCTTCAAGGGAGAAATTTGTATTAAAGGAAGACTTGCATACTTGGAAAGGATGGTGGAAATAATAAGTAGAAAGGGAAAAAGTAAAAGAAAGGTACAAAAGGAATTGTTTTGCATCATGTGAAGAGGAAAATTAGGAAGATAATGGAGGTTTTATATGAAGAGGAACAGCTCTAAATCTTTATTATTTATTATTTTGTTTCAAATTATCCCAAATTAGTGAAAAAGGAGATCCCTCAGTGAAGATATGCTATCTTCCATGTCATTTCCCAAGTCACATTTTCAGTTACTTCTTATTTACAACATGTCCAGAATGATAACATGAAATAGAGCTGTAATATACATAATTTTATTTGATGTGTGTTTTGATGAACTAAAAATTTGAAATGTGGGTGTCATAAACCAAGTTATAGCATAAGCTAATATTCATTGTACACCAGGAACTCACACTGAACTCTTCTGCAGAGATCAACTATCTGTGTGTTGGACCATGCAGTTGAGTCTTTTGCTGTGCCTAGGGTAATCTGAAGATGATCTACAGCGACTTGTGTACTTGCTGATGCACAATTCTTTTCTGGATTGCATGGCAAGCTGTTGGCAGATGCGGGGCTGCAGGGCTGGCCTCTATAAGGAAAGGGCACAGCCAGTTCCAGTTGGACACACCTTGGCCATAGCCCAGTACAGCATCCCAGAGTTGTTACATGGAAACAAGCTTCACATTGATGGCCTGTACATGTTCAGGTACCCCATAATCAAACCATGAAGCCACAAGGTCCAAGGACTGGTATCCACATGGCAGCATGCAGACAACAGATGGAGGCTGGGTACAGAGAGTATCCCAAGAAAAAAATTAAATAAATTGAAGTAAAGGAGGTGGGGTCATTCCCTCTTTCTTGCACACGTATTGCTGCTTCTTTATTCCTTATATTGTCAATTATAATTCTACTTTCAGGGAAAGAGATGGTTACTTAGATGATAGGAGAAAGTCTCTATTTTTTTTTAAATGCTCATCTGCAGTTAGTGCAGATAACCCTTACCCATAGCTAAAGCAAGTCAAAAATTTGAAAGCAAATTGAATTCCTGAAATTGAAAACTCTTGACTAATCTGATTTTTGGTATGTGAAGTCCTAGGTGCACTCATACACATATAGATAACTACACATTTAAATTATTGTGTCGACTTTATCAATATGTGTTAGAAAGGTAATTCCTTGTTGTTGTGCTTACAATGGCGATTCATTCTACTGCCTATTCTCAAAAGATTTAATATTTTTTGAACAAGCATTTGCAAAGTTTGGAGGTTTTCCTGCAAATTTTACCTCCCCTGCCTTTTGACTTCAGTGCTATATGAAAATACATGTGCATTTAGATGCTCTCTCAAAAATACATAATGATTGTTACCTGTTCTATCTTTGAATGAGCTATAATCTAGTATGCTGTGACCCACTTCTGTATCAGACTTAGCAATAACATATAGTACAGATAAACTTTAATTGGCTTGACAATTCAAACTAAAGAGTTGTAAAATGTGTCTTTGGTTTTTAGTAGCTATGAAAAAAATTCATCTCCAACTAGTAATGGAGTCATGTTTGATGTCATTAGAGGTCTATATTTCCTGTCTGACAGATTTTAATGCCTCCTTTTTATTATTAATGAGGTATAAGGTAAAATTCAGAAAAGTTATCTCAATAGCTTTGCAATCTAAGTATCACTGGAAGTCAATTTAATATTATAACTTTTGAAAAATGAACTTACAGGAAACTTGTTTCTGTCTACTTTGTTACCTGTTGGAAAGATGTGCAAGCAAACCTGCTGTCTACTCCTTTGACCAGAAAAAAATTTAATGACTGTAGCACTTCCCACAGTTTCATAAACATAAAAGTATTTAATCAAAGCTTCCTGTGATCTAAGTAGGCTAAGTACAATTAAACAGACTAAAGTAACACTATTCTTCTAGAACCCCAGATGGAAAGCCCCCAAAACTGATTTTCCATATATATGACCATATGGTGTGTTTTGAAAGCTACCAGACCAGGATTGCTTCTGAGTGGGGACGGCTTAGATTCATCTTGAAGGTGCTTTAAGAGAACACACCTCATCACCAGTCTTCTCTCTTCTTGAAGCAAGGGGCACCAGCCTGAATTATTCTAATAAAGACAGATGCAGAAGTACAGTCTGATGACATAGGTGATCTCCTGAGCTGCGTTGCAAACAGCATCATTTTTCGCTACGCTGTTAAATAGGAAAGAAGAACTATTCATGCGGTAAATTGAATCAGGGTAAATTATTAATAAACTATCTTAGTTCTATGCTTCCCTTTGTTTTATTTGTTTGTTGTTTTGGTCTTTTTAAAGGAGGACTTATGTCTTCCCTTTATGCCCATAAATAATTTGTAGTAAAAGCTGATTGACAATTAAACATTTCAATTCTGCTATCAGTCTTCTCTGTTTCTTCAGTGTTTCAAAAGTTTGCTGAAATCAACTGTTTTCCTGTCCTTACTCCTTCTCAGCAGGGAAGTTGGTTCTCGGATGTTTTATCCCTCATTTCTGGAAATACTATAGAATAACACATCGGTCACTGACATTCTCCACATACTTTTGTAAATACATGCAGTCCCTCAATTACCTGCATGCTGAGTGGAAATTGCCTAAATGTTGCCTACATGTATTTTAGGATTTTGAAAACATCACAGACTAAGTTTTTATGTAATGGCTGTACAATGCATTCAAAACCTTGTGGATGCCATTACAGAGTTTTTGCCTTGATTTTTATCTTCCTCATTCCTTCCTTCTCTGCTAATCCCCCAAAACCAAAACAAAACCACAAACAAACAAACAAACAAAATCCAAACAACAAAAGAATCTTGAGATAAACAGTAGTAGGCCATTTACAAATGTATTATTGCAACAACTGTCTGTTTTATTAGAATAAATACAAAGTTGGTAGTCTTAGTGGTACACACTAAGAATTTCACATAGGGATTGAGCACAAAATGCTGTATTTTGCACACAGACTGTTTGCTCTTGAGGTCCCACAAGCAGAATTTTAAGGGCTTAAGGAGAGTTAGACATCTTTTGTTTACTCTCTAAAATCATAACACGTTACTAAATTGTCTGTTGGGTGGAAATCCTGGATAAATATAACCTCTACTAAATGTATACTTAAAACTAAATTCTAATTAAAATCAATTTTATTTACCCCAGCTGTAGACACTTTAATTGCATAATAGCTTTAGTTCTGTCAGGGGGCCGTGGGAGCTGCAGAGAGCTGCTCCTGAAGGTGCAGCGTAGCATTCCTCGGCAGAGATCGCCCCTTCCCCTCAGGACCGCCAGGTCCTTCCTGCGCTCCTTCTCGCTGTGCACAGCACCCCGGGCAGACATTTTCGGCGCGCCGTGTAAGCAGCGGTGCCCGAGGGCTGATGCTCCGATCACATCCTCACGGGAGTCGCTGTCTGGCAGCTCCGACGCGGGCACCGTCGTCGATGCGGCACCGCTTTAGCGGGGCAGCTCCTGCATCCCAGCGAGCCGCGGGGCACGGGAGAGAACCGCTAGCTGCGCGGGGAAGCGGGGGAAGGAGGGAAGCGAGCAGCGCCGGAAAAGGCCGGGCGGCGCCACCGCCTCCGCGGCTTCACCACCACGGACAGCGCCCGGCGGGCGGTGCGGGGCGGGGAGGTGGGCGGGACAGCCGCGCAAGGGCAGCCGTGGGGTCACGGCGGGCGAGAGCTGCGGCCACGCGTGCGGACATGGACACGGACACGGACACGGACACACATGCCCGGCCGGCTGTCGGGCGCGCACCGACGGGGAGAACTGGCGTGGGCCCTGGGCCCACGCAGAGACACCGGCGCGCTGAGACGCGCGGACACAGAGGCACTGAGGCACAAACCCACGTGCGCATTCTCGGGCATGGTCGCGACACCCACACTCACACCAGGCACTGCAACACAGCCTGTCCCCCACACCCCGCTCACACACGCAGTGTCATGTACGCACACACAGACACACACAGACACAGAGACAGACACAGAGACAGACACACAGACACAGACACAGACACACACACACTCTCTCGATCCTTCACGCGCGCCCGCCCCGCCCCCGCCGGCCGCGCGCCTCCCGCCTGGCGACAGCCAATGGCGTTGTGAGTCTCCCGCCGGGAGGCGCAGCCACCAATGGGAGCGGCGCGGGCGCGGACCGGCTGGCCCCGCCTCCCTACTTAAGGCGGCCGGTGGCCGAGGGTCGCTCAGTGGTGGGAGGAGGGGGGCGGGGGCAGAGGCAGCGCCAAGACGCGCGAGCAGCGGCGCGCGGCGACCCGCGCACGTGCCCGCCCCGCGCGGCGCGAGGGGAAGGCGGAGGCGGGGCCGGGGGTAGCGCGCGCCGC